TCTTGGGTCAATGCACATGAATGCAATGCATGAAAAGTACGTTAATAAAATCTTTCGGAATTTCATAAGAGCATTTTGTCTTGAGCAATATCATTAAGTAAACTTTTTTTTCTCAACTTTCATATTTCTCTGAGACCCATGAACAGATGATAAAATATTACGGCACATGGAAATTCAGGAACATAGATATCTCTAATANCCTTTTTTGCCTCGACTGCGCTGTACGAAGCCTCTCCTGAATTACCTTCACCTTTTCTAAAGCATCCTATACCAAGTCTGTCCCCAATAGCCTAGCCTCACCCGACTCAAACCAACCAACTGGAAATCTACACCTCCTCCCATACAAAGCCTCATATGGAGCCATCTGAATACTCGATTGGTAGTTGTTGTTATAAGCAAACTCTGCGAGTGATAGAAACTGATCCTATGACCCTCCGAAATCAATGACACAAGCACGCAACATGTCCTCCAATATCTGAATAGTGCGCTCGGATTGCCAGTCCGTCTGAGGGTGAAAAGTTATGCTTAAATCAACTTGAGTACCCAACTCTCACTGCACAGACCTCCAAAACTGCGAAGTAAACTGACTGCCCCTATCTAAAATGATGGAAACTAGAACACCATGCAAACGAACAATCTCCCGGATATAGATCTCTGCCAACCGCTCTGAAGAATAGGTAGTACACACAGGAATGAAGTGCGCGGATTTGGTCAACCAATCCATAATCACCCAAATAGCATCAAACTTCTTCAAATTCCGTGGGACCCCAACTACAAAGTCCATGGTGATCCGCTCCCACTTCCACTCTGGAATATCTATCTGGTGAAGCAAGCCACTCGGTCTCTGATGCTCATATTTCACCTGCTGACAATTGAGACACCGAGCTACAAATCCCACAATGTCTTTCTTCATTCTACTCCACCAATAATGCTGCCTCAGATCTTGATACATCTTCATGGCACCCGGATGAATGAAATACTGTGAACCATGGGCCTCTTCCAGAATCAACTCCCGAAGCCCATCCACATTGGGCACAAAAATTCGACTCTGCATCCTCAACACCCCATCATCACCAATAGTCACATATCTAGCATCATCGTGCTGGACTCTGTCCTTAAGGACAAGCAAATGAGGATCATCATACTGGCGCTCTCTGATGCAATCATATAATAAAGACCAAGAAATCACACAAGCCAATACCCGATTGGGCTCCGAAATATCTAACCTCACGAACCGATTGGCCAAGGCCTGAACATCAACTGCAAGAGGTCTCTCCCCAATTGGAATATATGCCAAACTCCTATACTCACCGCCTTTCGGCTCAAAGCGTCAGCCACCACATTGGCCTTCCCCAGATGGTACAATATAGTGATATCATAATCCTTTAGCAACTCCAACCATCTCCGCTGCCTCAAATTGAGATCCTTCTGGTTGAACAAGTGCTGGAGGCTACGATGATCAGTAAACACCTCACAAGACACACCGTACAAATAATGCCTCCAAATCTTCAATGCGTGAACAATGGCGGCCAACTCCAAATCATGAACAGGGTAGTTCTTCTCATGGTGCTTCAACTAACGAGAAGCATACGCAATGACTCTACCCTCCTACATCAACACACACCCAATGCCAACTCTCAAAGCATCACAATACACGGTAGATGAACCTAAAGCTGATGGCAAAACCAACACCGGAGTTATGGTCAAGGCTGTCTTGAGCTTCTGAAAGCTCTCCTCACACTCATTCGACCATAAAAATGAAGCATCGTTCTGACTCAACTTGGTCAAGGGCGATGCGATAGATGAGAATCCCTAAACAAACCGGTGGTAATAACCCACCAAACCAAGAAAGCTGCAAATCTCTGTGGCTAAGGATGGTCTGGGCCAACTCTGAACCGCCTCTATCTTCTTCGGATCAACCTGAATACCCTCACTGAACACCACGTGCCCCAAGAAAGCCACCGAACTGAGCCAAAACTCACACTTGGAGAACTTTGCATAAAGCTTCTTGTCCCTCAATATCTGCAACACAACTCTCAAATGATCTGCGTGCTCCTCTTGACTACGCGAATACACCAGAATATCATCAATGAAGACTATGACAAATGAGTCGAGATAAGGCCGGAACATGATGTTCATCAAATGCATGAACGCTACTAGGGCATTGGTCAGCCCAAAAGACATCACCAAGAACTCATAATGACCATATCGAGTCCTGAAAGCCGTCTTAAGAATATCCGAGTCCCTGATCTTCAACTGCTGATAACCTGAACGGAGATCAATCTTGGAGAACCCTCTCGCTCCCTGAAGCTGGTCAAATAAATCATCAATGTGAGGCAAAATATACTTGTTCTTAACTGTTACTTCGTTCAACTGCTTATAATCAATGCACATCCTCATTGTGCCATCCTTCTTCTTCACAAATAGAACTGGCGCACCCCAAGGCGACATACTAGGCCGAATGAACCCTTATCAAGGAGTTCCTGAAGCTGCTCCTTTAACTTCTTCAACTTCGCTGGTGCCATATGATACGGTGGAATAGAAATGGGCTGAGTGCCCGGCACCATGTCAATACCAAAATCAATTTCCCTGTCCGGCGGCATGCCCGACAGGTCAGCAGGAAACATATCGGAAAAATCCCTCACAACTGGAACAAAATCAATACTGGGAGTCTCTGTACCGACATCCCTAACAAATGCTAGATACGAAATACAACCCTTCCCAACCATACGTTGGGCCTTCAAGAATGAAATTACCCTACTGGGAACATAATCAGTCAACCTTCGACACTCAATTTGTGGCATACCTAGTATAGCCAATGTCACTGTCTTAGCATGACAGTCCAGAATAGCACGACACGGAGATAGCCAATCCATGCCTAAAATAACATCGAAGTCTACTATACATAATAACAACAGATCCACTCGGGTCTCCAGACCCCCAATAGTCACCACACACGACCGGTACACACGGTCTACAACAACAGTATCGCTCACCAGAGTAGATACATGAACAGGTGAAATAAGAGACTCACGGGGCGTATCCAAATAACGAGCAAAGTATGATGACACATAAGAATAAGTGGAACTAGGATCAAATAATACAGAGGCATCTCTGTGGCAGACTGAGACAATACCTGTAGTAACAACATCAAAAGTAATAGCATCGGGTATAACTGGAAGTGCATAGAAACGGGCCTGACCGCCACCTGATCGACCTCCCCCTCTAGGGCAACCCCTAGTTGTCTGACCTCCACCCCTAGCTGGCTGGGTAGGTGGTCGTGAAGTAACTAGCGCTGAAGTCGATGGCTGACTCTTCTGCTGAGATGAATCTGTAAGACGACGAGGACACTGCCTCCACATATGACCCATCTCTCCACACTCATAGCAACTCCCAAGTGCTGGAGATGGGGACTAAAGGGAACCCCTAGCACTGGAATGACTAGCAGATGCACCTGGCATAGAAGAGCCCTAAAATGATGGAGCACGGGACGAACTCTGAGTTGGAAGGGCACTAAGTGATGACTGGCCCTGATTAGAACCATGACCTGATGACGCCCCACGATAACTTGGGCGAGCTAGCTGATCATGCCTGAATGGACGACATCTACCATGCTGAAACTGACCTCTCGAAGGAGAACCACCATAACTACCAGATCCTCGAGGCCTCTTGGCCTCCCTCTCTTTATGCTCCTGGCGACGAACTGACTCGATCTCGTGAGCAATGTCTACAACCTTCTCAAAAGTAGCACCAGTTACCCTTTATCTGGTCATGAGAATACGAAGCTGATAAGTGAGGCCATCAATAAACCTCCTAATCCTCTCTCTATCTGTCGGAACCAACCAAATCGCATGGCGAGCTAACTCAGATAACCTCATCTCATACTGCGTCACCGTCATCTCTCCCTAATGTAGCCACTCAAACTGCCTGCACAGCTCCTCTCTATGAGACTGTGGACTATACTTCTCCAAAAAGAGAACGGAGAACTGCTGTTAGGTAAGGGGTGCTGCACCAACGGGCCTACACCTCTCAAAAGCCTCCCACCAAGTGAAGGCAGCTCTAGAAAACTGAAAAGTAGTGAAAGCGACCCCGATGGTCTCTAGAATACCCGTTGTACGAAGCATCCTCTGACACTTATCTAAGAAACCCTGGGCATACTCTCCCTCTGCACCACTGAAAGTCGGAGGTTGAAGTTTACCAAACCTCTCCAACCTGTGATGCTCGTCCTCTAGTATGGTAGGAGCTACATAGTCCTGAGCAACTGCAGCCGGCTAGGCTGGATGCGCCCCCAGTGTCTGAAGTCCTTGCACGACCTGCTCAGGTGTGCGAGCGGCGAGAGTCGGATTGCCTCCCCCGGCCTGAGAAGTAGTTGCGACTGCAGTAACTGAGACCGCCTGATCTAGGCCAGTGCATACTGATAGAATATGATCCAAGGCCTTCTGAAGACCCGAAATCACAATGGGCATAGCTGGTGCCTAAGCTGGTGCTGTTGAAGCATCCACAACTGGGATATGATCCTGAACTGGGGCGGCTGGTGGGTCTGCAGGTACTACCCTAGCTGCTGTGCGGGCCACACCCCTGCCCCTACCGTGACCACGACTCCTCGGCCTCTAGTGGCCACAGCTGGTGGTACTGGTGATCGTCCATCCTGACCGGTAGCGCGTGTCCTCACCATCTGTGAGAGAATAGAATAATAGAAGTTTAGTACTCAGAGTAACGGATTCGCATGACAAGAATTTCAAGAATATGAAGTTTTTCCTAAAGGTTCTGCAGCCCCTCGAGGATAAATATAGACGTCTCCGTACCGATCTGCGAGAATTTACTAAACCTGCTCATGACTCGTGAGACCTATGTAACCTAGGCTCTGATACAAACTTGTCATGACCCTAAACCCAGACACGGTCGTGATGGCGCCTCTCATGAAAACAAGGCCAGCCAACACACTCCCAATTCATTTTAAGCAAATACAAATAATATAAATTAAGTCTTTAACATAATAATAATCCCAAAATAAGGTGAAACAGTACAATTGCGAAATAGACATAGCCCGACAACGGGGTGTCACCAGTCATGAATATCTACTAACCGATTTAAAACAGAAAGAGTCTACATAGTCTATTACAGAACTAAAATAGGAGAAAATAAGATAGAGGGAGAAGCATTGGGCTGCGAATGCCAAGCAGCTACCTAGTGAATCTCCGAAATCTGTTGGAAGCTCTCAACCCGTGCAAGGAGGACCTGAAGTGCCTGAATTTGCACACGAGGTGCAGGGAGTAAAATGAGTACTCCAACTCAGTGAGTAATAATAATAAATGAAGACTGAGCAATAAGAAATCACGTAAAGGCACATCAACATGCTATAAGGAGCAGTATAAAGCCAGTAAAGGTAATGAAACAGTGAAAACATGTAAAGTCACCTTAGTTCAGTTTAAGCTTCCTTAAAATACCTTTTTAACAGTTAAGCAAGTAAATGACAGGATGCTAGAAAAGATAAACAAATAAAGAACCGCCCCTCGGGAACAATGTCAACAGAATCCGCCCTTCGGGCAATATCATGGAACAACACCAGCCCCTCGGGCTATATCTCACATCACAATGGGTACCCGTGCTCACTGGGGTGTGCACACTCCGGGAGGGGCCCCTTACAGCCCAAGCGCAATATCAAGCCATCTCGTGGCATAATCAATAGGCTCTCTGCCTTATATCAAGCCACCTCGTGGCGTACAACTCAAGCCCTCAGCCTCATAATCATAAATCAGTGTATCCTCACAACACAGGCCCTCGGCCTTACTCAGTCAGAATCTCATAAGCCACTCGGGCAATAGTATAACATGATGCTCAACCCAAATTATCATTTAAAATATCATTTAATGTGTTAAAATAGAGTAAACATAGCTGAGTTATGAAAACAATAGAATATAGCATGACTGAGTACAAGTATAAAGTCAAAACAGTGAGGAAATATCAGTAAAAATCCCATAAGGGTCCAAATAGTTGGCACGAGGCTCAAATATGGCATTCAGCCCAAAATATGATGATAGCAAATAGTTTTCAATCAAATACACGGTAAAACAGTCATTCAGGACAGACTAAGTCACAATCCCCAATGGTGCACGACCCCACGCTCGTCATCTAGCGTGTGTGTCACCTCAATATAGCACAACGAGGTGTAATCCGGGGTTTCATACCCTCAGGACAATATTTAAAATTATTACTCACCTCAATCCGGTCTAAACTCTAGCCCGCGACGCTTTATCCATAATCAGAATCATGACGTCAAAATATGCTAAGGGAACGAAGCCTATGCGAAAATAATCAATTTACGACATAAATCCCGAAATTAACCAAAACTCGACCCCCGGTCCCACGTCTCGGAATTCGATAAAATTTACATCAATAGGGTCCGTATCTCCCTACGAGTTCATACATATCAAAAATCCCAAAATCCGACCACAAATGGCCCCTCAAATCCTCAAGTCTACGTCTCCAATACCAAGCCCTAGTTTCCCCAATTGTAACCCTTAAATTTCCATAATTACAGCTCTAATCCATGAAATAATATCATAGGATCGATTATTCGACTCAAAAATCTTACCTCCAGATGATATCCCTTGATTCCCTTTTCAAAATCTCCCAAAAAGCTCCAAAACCGACTTGAAATGGTGAGGAACAACTCAAAAATCGCGAATGAATGCTTTTATACCATCTGGTCCAGGCTTTTTGCACCTGCGGACCATATCTCGCACCTGTGAAACCGCTTCTGTGGTCCGGCACCGCTTCTGCGGTCACCACTTAAAATTCCAGGTGCCACATCTGCGAAGAAATTCCCTCACCTGCGATACTGCAGGTGCACCTACCTAGCTACTTCTGCGGCTCCAACTCTCCTTAGCCCCTTCCACTTCTACGACTACAAACTCGCTTTTACGAGACCGCATCTGCGGTCCCCTAGCCGCAGGTGCGGTTATGACAGCAATGGAATATCTTCAACTGCCAAAACCAACTTCCAAACTTTCCGCCAACCATCCAAAATCACCCCAAGGCCCCCGGGACCCCAACCAAAAGCACCAACAAGTCCTATACCACCATCCAAACTTATACCAATTTTCAAAATACCTCAAACAACATTGAATCAACCAAAACAAATCAGATTCAAGACTAAGTTTTCAAAATCATCCGAATTTCGCTTTTGATAAAAAAGTCTACCAAACCACATCCGAATGACCTGAAATTTTGCACACACATCCCAAATGACACAGCAGACCTGTCACACCTCCTTTTTTTCCTACACCTCCGTAAAAGGGGTGTATAAGGGAGTTCTTCCAATTAAAGTTACAATCGAAAAGGGATTATATTATTAAGAAATTCAGAGTCGCCACTTGGAAGATTTATGGTGTCCCAAGTCACCGGTTCAAATCCCGAATCGAGGAAAAGATTGACTCTGTAATACAGTCCGCGAACCAGAAATCCGAGTAAGGAATTTTGTTAACCCGGGAGAAGGTGTTAGGCATTCCCGAGTTCCGTGGTTCTAGCACGGTCGCTCAACTGTTATATTCGGCTTAATTATCTGATTTTAAACAATTATGAACCTATGTGCAAATTTTAACTTTTTAAAACCGCTTTTACTTATTTAAAGAATTAATTCACAGTTATTTAAAACATATCGCAAGCCACGCTACATGAAATGCACCCATGGTTCACAACGCGTTCTATTTAACCTTGTTGATAACTAGAACCGGGTCACACGAAATGCACCCCTGGATTTACAACAGGCTTATTTTGTTATTATTATTCGAAGTTGGTCGGGTCACATGAAATGCACACCCGGATGAGATTTATGCATCGTGACTATGCCAAATAATTTTTCACTCATTATCACAAAGGAACAAAAGCAAACCAAAAATTAAACTAAAGCTTCGAATACATGTTATCCAAAATCAGAATTATGGCAAAAAGAGACGAACTAAATTGGAATGTAGCATCTTTTTTAATTACACCTTTTCTATACTGAATTAAACTAAAAAGGTATCCAAAATGGTAAAGGGCTTTTAAACTTCAATTCTGCATATGATTAACAAGCAGAAATCCATAAATGTTCCTGTAGTTCCACCTTCGGCTTCAGTGTTTACAGATCCAAGCCAAAACAATAACTAGATATATAAATCTATACTATAAGTATAACATTTCCACCTCTTGCGTTCTTAGACATCATCAAGATAACTACAGTTCAGACCCAAATCTAGCAATCGTCATTGACAGGATTACATATTCAAATAACTGTGTTATCGCAAGTTAAATCATTACAGCAACGAAATCAGCAGACAATAACACGCAACTTTCAAGCTAAATATCTATTTATCCTATAATAAGCGTGGTTTCACTATACATAGAGATTTTGCAGAAATAGAATTAAATAAATTACCTTAAATGACACAGACGTAGCACTAGGAAATGTTACTAGCTCATAAACACAGTAATTGAATTCAATGGGATTCACTCACCAAATTCAGAGGTAGCATCAATCAATTTATCCATGGAAAATCAAGCAGAATACGGAGAATATGCAAACTAACCTTGAAGTGATATTTCAATTGATTTGTTGAAGATTGAGGTTACAAACAGATTTCCGGCATTTAACTTCAATCCAGAAAATAGCTAATGATGACACTAAATCAAAACTGCAAATTAGGCCACCACAAACGGACCTCGACCGGCGACGACTTCAAAATCAATTGGACTCCATCAGTAGCGTGAATCGAACAGAGGTCGCAGTTTCCTTGAACCGGAAATCTCGACTAAAATCATATGGGACCGGAACTTTCAACGGCACCGGAACATCGAACAAGTGACTCGAACAGAACCTCGCCGCTGCCTGTGCTCTAACATGGGTGCGACTGGCACGACAAAGAACAACGGAACAACAACAACATACACAGGCTAGATGGATCGTCGGACTTAACCAAATACTCGGCCAGATCTAAAACTCATCACCTCAAACGGAACCTTCGATCCAGATCTCAAAATCTCGCCGCAACCGTGACAAAATCCAACCACAACAGCGACTACTTGTGTGTGTCGATGGTATCCTTTTGGGTGTAGAAGAAGATAGGCACTGATGGGGAAGGGTGTGGGTCATTTTTAGTGTTCGGCCGCTTTCAATATTTCAAAAAATGTGGTTCTATCTTTTTACTCCCTCCAAAATGAATTCTACCCCTGTATATCCAGTGTATCCAGAGTGTATATCGAGTGTATACCGCTCTCTCCGCCCCTTTTTTTTCTTCCCTTCTCTTCTTTGTTTTCCTCCTATTTATAGCAAAATTTTCGAGATTTTTCAGATTTTTTTAAAAAATATTTTATTATTTAATTATTTTTTTAATTAAAAGAAATCCCACTTACAAATTGCTTTTCTTTTTTTATAAAAAGAAATCCCACCTTTCTTTACTTTTATTTTTTTAAATTCCAACTTTAATTACTTTTATTTTATTTAAAATCTCACTTTTTTTACTTTTTAAAAGAGAATTCCACTTTATTTAACTTTTCTTAAAAAAACAATCCACTTTATTTTGCTTTTCTTTTAAAAATGCTACTTTCTTTTACATTAAATTTTTTTTAATTTTCATATACCTTTATATTTGTTTTTTAATTCCAACTTTCTTTTACTTTTTATTTTTTTAAAATTTCTACAAAACTTTACTTTTATTTTTTTAATTTTCTACTTTCTTTTACTTTTTATTTTTTTAAAATTTCTACAAAACTTTACTTTTATTTTTTTTATTCAATACTTCCCTTTTTCTTATTTTTTAAATCACTCCCGAAAATTAAAAAAAGTAATATTTTTTCGGATTTTTTTTATTATTTTAAAAATAAAAATAAAAATTAAATAATAGTAATAGTAATAATTCACCTTTTAAATTTTGTATTTTTACCTTATAATAAAAGTGTAACAAAACTAAAAATTGTAGGTTAAAACTCCTAAAATATTTACATAGAAGAAGTGATAAAAAAAATAAAATATTATCAAAAATTAGGTGCTCACAACTGCCCCTCTTTGTTTGGAAACATGAAGAGTTTTCAAGCAAAGATAAGGTGAGCCATGTGACTAATTTTTGAACATATTTTTATTCAAAAGGGAAGAAATAAGGATAAGAGAAAAGAGAAAGGGTGCAACCGAGTCTTGGTTTTGGACATCCTACATATCCCGGGTTATAGGGGAATCAGGTTGCGTGTAGTTCAAGAAGTTTAGTAGCTGGGACTACCATGAAACTGCGGTTTTACTGTTACTGTTGTTGCTGCTGCTGATACTGCCTACTGTCCTCCTTATTACACCATGACAAAAATGAAGAAGCTAGACTAAGCTATAATCTATGCTTTACAAAGATTTATTTTTCAAACTTGGTCTTGTGACTGTTGTTGCCTTGTTGATTTGTATTTCCCTCAGTTGTTCCTTTGTTGCTGACTCGAATTGTACTCTTGAGATGCTTTCCCTCCCCTTCAGGCGGGTACCTGATTACTGAACCTTTAAACGTCTTTCTTTGACCATTGTTGTCTATCCTCTATTCTACACGTGGGCTCCTGATTACTCGAACCTGAATTGCTTATTCCCTTCGTTCTCCATGTGGACACTTGATTGCTGAATCTTCCACTGCCTTTCCTTGTTCTCCAGGTGGACGCCTGATTGCTGAATCTTGAATTGTTTGCCCTTCGTTTTTCAGGCGGGTTCCTGATTACTTGAAATTTGAATGGTATTCCCTTATTCTCCAGGTGGGCTCCTGACTGTTGCGCTTGAAAAGTATTCCCTGCTTTCCAGGCGGGCTCTTGACTTCAAAATAGACAAACCAAGAATTTGAAAGCTAAACTTAAATTATACTCCCTTGTTCTCCATGCGAGCTCCTGACTGCTGCGTTTGAATGTGTTCCCATGCTTTCCAGGCGGGCTCCTGATTGCTAAACTTGAAATGTATTCCCATGCTCTCCAGGCGGGCTCCTGACTGCTGCGCTTGAAAGTTTTCCCTGCTTTCCAAGTGGCTCCTGACTTCAAAATAGACAAACCAAGAATTTGAAAGCTAAACTTAAATTATACTCCCTTGTTCTCCAGGCGGGCTCCTGACTGCTGCGTTTGAATGTGTTCCCATGCTTTCCAGGCGGGCTCCTGATTGCTAAACTTGAAATGTATTCCCATGCTCTCCAGGCGGGCTCCTGACTTCAAAATAGACAAAACAAAGAAATCTTCTTCCCCATTTTGGGTGTCTGGGCACATATGTAAGTGTAAAACGAACCACATTACCAAATATCAATAAGCATTTGAAAACTGGGTTCCGTTATCCAGGGGGTCCTGACAACTCTTGACAATTTTAAATCTAAGCTATATCTTTTAAAGTGTGACTTCCACTAAATCTTGTTATTTAATGAAAACTCTCAAAGCTAGGTCCCATTGTTCAGGAGGGTCCTGAGAATTCCTAATTGAATCCTATCTGAAACATACAAACTTTGAAATTAACTTATGTTCCTTTGGGGTACACTTATGCTAGATCTGGTTTTTCACGATTGTTTCGATTTTTATTTTTTTTAAACTAGGTCCTATTTTCCAGGAGGGTCCTGAGAATTTTCGACTAAATTGGGAAAAAGCAAAAAAAAGATGGCATTTCTGCTTGGGGAAAACGTTGAGGAAACAGAAAATCATAATCATTAATCTGGGAAAGAAGAGAAGTCAGAATCTTTGTTCTCATGGGGTAATGTCCAAAGTGTATCTCAAATATACAAACTTCGAAGCCCCACTTATAATCCTCTAGGGTGCATTCATACCAAATTCCGTTACTCGTGATTATTTTGAATTTTAAACTAAGTCACATTTTCCAGGAGGGTCCTCAGAATTCTATGATCAAACCTGCATGGTACTCGTCTTCCTTTTAGGGTGCTTCCTGAAACAAATGCCATCTTTGCCCCTGTTTCAAATCAAAGAAAATTTTGTCAGTTTAAAACGTGGTGGTTAGTTGTGGCATTCTTGCTGGAGGTGGTTCTTTTTCCCATTCTTTGCTTCGTCCAACTGCCTTGAACTGATCGAAAAGACCGTTCTGACCTTCTGACCGATCCTTGACTGCAGGATCCCTAACTGTTGTTCTCCACTTCTGACCTTTCTATCTGAACTCATATATCTCCCACGACATTACTGAACCATTCCATCGATATAACCTTTGCTTACACCCTATGTCCCACTTTTCATCACATCATCTTTGACACGTTCTAGCTGCATTTTGCTTTGTGCAATTCCGAAATTGGTAGTAAGCTTTGAAATTCCTTCTTACAAGGCTAAACTTGGAAGAGCTTTAAAGAAGTAAAATTAACAGCAATTAAAGGAAAGGATTTTAAGAATAAAGAAAAGAATCCAAATTTGGATGACTGTTGGAGATAGGAAAAAGGGACTTATCTGAGCGGAATCATCGGCGCCAATGATCATGATATACATTTGGATTAATCAGCCCAGTCTATTTAACCAACCTCTTTTCCAATTGTTTTGCTTTGTGCTCCAAGATCTTCCATAACCCAAATTTACTTTCCGTTTAACTTTACGGACATTGTTCGACTTGCGGTGCCCTGAAGGGCTTTCACCGACAAACCTCTCTCATTTGTCATTCCTCAATTCCTTGTCACCTCATGGTGCCCGTGAAGGTTTTCACCGATAAGACTCTCTCATTTTTACTTTCTCTCAACTCTCGTCGCCTTACAGTGCCCATGAGGGTTTTCACCAATAAGACTCTCTCATTTTCGTTACTTTTCCTGTTTGGACCAGAGTGTTACCCTGATATGAATCACCTCTATTTGCTCGACTCGGCATTTTTCAAAGATTGATCAGAAGGTCTTTCCTTGGACCATAATGTGAGCTTTTGGATGGGGTTAGAAAGAAAGGGTATCAAAGGCTCAAAACAATTTAACATGGGTTTAAAATTACAACTTTTGGAATCACATTTATTATTACAAATTGTGAACACGTGATTTTTGCCCTACAAGAACTACTCCCACAAAAATTCAAAATGGTTTTGTGTTGTTTGTGATTTATTTGTATTTTTGTATGTGCATGTTTATTTCTACTTTAATTAAGAAAAATACAAAAATATGTGTTGCATGCGCATTTAGGATTTAATTTTACAATTTAAGAATTAATTAAACAATCAAGTTTGCTTTACAAAATGGAAAGATCACAAAAAATATGTACTTTGCATTTTTGGCGTTTAATGTCCGAATTGTGTGATTTTTATCCTTATTGGCTATTTAATTGCATGTGATAGCTGTTATTAAGAGTTAATGTTTTAAGTTAATTGTCAATGTTATAATTCAATTAGGATTTTTAGTTGAAAAGGAATTAAAAGAAAATGAAAGCAAAAAAGAAGAAAAAGAGTGGACATTGGGCCGATTTCAGTGCAAAAATCAGGCCCAAATCACCCATGAACCAGGTCCAGTTTGTCCTGGTCAGAGACGTCTTAAAACGACGTCATTTGGTCACTCTTAATCAAAGACGTTGATACGACTTGATCCAACGGTCACAGATCAATGCCCCTTACCCATTCCTTGGCCCGACCCACTTGCCCCGGATCGACCCCACCCAGTACTACTCCAAAACGACGCCGTGTCTGTTAAATGAATTGATCCAGGCCGTTGGTCGGGCTTGATCCAACGGCCAGGATTAAAACACCCCCCCTCCCC